ATTTTCTCAGATGCACCAGCTGAAGCTATTGCTGCAGTCGCCTATTTAAAGACCTCTGGGATTAATGGAGAATCACACTTCAGTTTTGTTCTAGGCAAGGCAAAACTCACTCCCAAACCTGCACATACCATACCAAGACTTGAACTCTGTGCGGCTGTGCTAGCAGTAGAAATTGCTGAAGTCATACAAAGTGATATGGACTCCAGAACTGATTAATTGATTCTTTCACCTTTATACAGACAGTTAGGTATGTGCGGTCTTGTGATGCACTCCAGCTTGGAGAGCATGATGACTCTCAAAGCTACAGTATCCAAGGTAATGAGCCTCTAGTGGCTGAGGGGGAAACAATTGTGTCTGTTAAAGAACACAGCAGTGAACAAGATCAATTTGGGCTGCATGTGTGCACTCCTAGTGGTAAACCAAGGAGTTTGCACATCTACTATTTGGATTGTCATACAGATGTGGTCTGCTGTTGGATGCCCTATTGTCTTGTTATGTGATACAACGAATTGTGAGAACATATTAAAAGGAATGACAGAATGGAATGCCCATATTCTTTAACAGGGTAGTGGAATGCCCATAGAGAATAATGGAGTCAGAACCATTAGACAAATCACATAAATCCTTAGCAGACATACTCTCCAAGTTCAGTGGTGATGTTAAAAATTTAGATTAACCACTTTACAACCGCGCTTTAGCTGAATGACCGCTACAGCGCTGTTGTCTAGTTCTGGGAGGGCGTCCTCCCAGAACGCGCCCCCAACGGCACGCACCCAGCACTGTCTGTGATTGCTTATCACATGACAAGGTAAAAGGCCAATCACAGAGGCCTTTTACCACGTGATCAGCTGTGTCCCCATCAGCGCCGCCTCATCAGTGCAGCCTATCAGAGCCCATCAGTGCTGCGTATCAGTGCAGCCTCATCAACGCACATCAATGAAGGAGAAAAATTACCTGTTTGCAAAACAAACAAAGAAAATAAAAAAAAAAATTTTCAAATGTTTTGCTTTTTTTTTTGTTTATATTGCAAAAAATAAAAACCCCAGTGGCGATTAAATACCACCAAAAGAAAGCAATATTTGTGTGAAAAAATGATAAAAATGTCATATGGGTACAATGTTGCATGACCGCGCAATTATCATTCAAAGTGCAACAGCGCTGAAAGTTGAAAATTGTCCCGGGCACAAAGGGGGTAAAAGTGCCTGGTAGGCAAGTGGTTAAGTGGGATTATTATTGCTTACTATGGAATGACTAAAGTGAATGGCAGAAAAGAATGCCCATAGAATGTAATGGGAAGTAAAATATAAACTCATTTTGCAGACAAATCTGAAAAACATAGCAATTTCACCTTTCCCACAAGTGTTCCCCAAGAAGAGTAGCAGATTGTAAGATTAACATAATTTGAGATTATAGCTCTTTTCTGTAGAATGACAAAGGTGAATGACAGGGTATAATGGGAACCAAGATGCAACCTGGAGGCAGAACCATTAAACATTCCAAATGAATCATTAGCAGACAAACTCTCCATGTTCAGTGGTGATGTTAAAAATTTCGATAAAGTGGGATTATCATTGCTTTCTATGGAAGGAGAAAGGTGAATGACAGAAGGGAATGCCCATAGACTATAATGGGCAGTAATATATGAATTTATTTGCAGAAAAATCTGTGTCACGTAGCAAATTAACCTTTGCCACATGTGTTCCCCAAGTAGAGTAGCTGATTGTATGATTGAAATAATTTGGGACTATAACTGTTTTCTATGGAATGACAAAGGTGAATGACAAAAGAGAATGCCCATAAAGTATAGTAGGAACCAAGATGTGATCAGGAGTCAGAACCATTCAACATTCCAAATAAATCCTTAGCAGACATACTCACTATGTTCAGTGGTGATGTTTAAAATTGAGATTAAGCAGGTGCATTGTCAGGTGACCACCTTACCCGCTGAATCCTGCTGAAAATTAATAAGAAAATGTGCTACTATTTCAAGATGATTTAATATTCTAGAGGATTCTTAAGGTTGGTGCCACTAACATTAAAAGTTATCCCTAAGACGTTTCATTGAAAACAGATCTTTACATAAAGGTCCCTATATAACTTTAAAATGTTACTAAACCCACAACAGTAAAATCAGTCTGTGTATGCAGTACAGCCTGCTTGTTATACGCACTGTGTAACCTAAGGGGTTAATCCTCTGCATTGTGTAAAAAGGCTGTTTGATCCTTTCTTCTCTCCCCGTTCTCTTGTTAAAATGACCACCTGATACAAACTGAATCCATAGTCACATACACATGCTCAGTTTGGTATGTATTGCTAGAGAGGTTTTTTTTCTTTGGAGAGTGCATGTGACCAGCACAGGGCCAATCAGTACTGTTTAGACAGAGGGTCAGGGGGTTTCACATCCTCCTACAGCAGAAAGAAAACTCCTCCTACAAGCTTTAACCAGTGCTCTGCTGAAGTCACAAGACTGCTCTAACTGCTGATGAGAAAAGGTATTTAGCAGTTTATATTTACTCAAATATGTGAATGCAGGGTCCTGCGTTTAGTAACATTTTAATAATTGTTAGCAACCATAAGGGATCCCTCATAGTCACTGCCCTGTATTTTTGGCCAGCTTAAAGAAACTGATTTACGGAACGAACTGATGGTCTTACTGAACAATCTGGGGAATGCTATGCACACTATTGTACACAACATTTGCACTTCCCTGGTGGCCAGATAATTGAACATAGTCTTATGATCAAGGCACAAAAAAATTACCCTAAAATCTAAATTCCCAATGGTATACACTAAACATTGTACAACAAATAGCCACAATATTAGCATATCACACATTTTTGTACACTCCTTATTGGAATTTCACAGCACTCACCAAATGCATGTATGTTCTCCATGTCATCCAGCCTGCCAATACTAATGAACTTTTGGTCATTATTTTGTAGAACAAATGGTAAATTGAATAGAAAATGAGATGGGTTTTATTTTTTTTAAAGTTGAAAAGAGTAGTGAGGGTTTGTCCTCACCACCAATGTTATCAGAAATTAAAGTGGTAAATCTAAATTTCTGATTTGCCAACAGAACAACAGCCTTCCAACGGGGAACACTTTCACCCATGACAACCAACAAAGAGGGGATTCTTCTCATTTTAGAAACATCTTTCCATTTTTTGTTGAGTATACATTTACATCCAGGACTTATATTCTAGCAACTGAAAATGCAGTGTGCCCAACATGTTGATAACATACGGTAAAGTTGAGTTTAAGCTTACATAGCTGCTATACTTTACACACCTGAGAGAGGTTGAAGTAATGAATGGTCGTATTCCAACAGGGTAAAGTTCTTATGTCAAAGCAACAGTCTTAAGGGAACTAAACATTCTCTTAAACTGCTGTCTGTACTATCTCTCTAGCCTTTGCTCTGTACGTTCTCTTTGCCTTGTAAAACTGTGGGTCCTCTCTCTTGCTCATAGTCCTGTTGCATATTGCTTTTCTGCCATACATTCCCTCCATTTCTCACTTCTGCTTATCTCTTTCATTCCCATGTTTCATGAAATGCTCTTTTTGCTTTCATGTTGTTTTATTTTGCTCCCTTTCTGCAATTTTAACTTTCTTTTCGTATAGCAACTCTCATCTGAAACGTGCCCCTCACCATCTTAACGAGCCCCTCCTTTGCTAAGGAGCTTGTCATACTCCATACCTGGAAACTGCCAGTTCCACTATTGGAATTTTGTGTGTGTGCATTATATATGGCACGCCATCAATCTAACTGCTCAGCTCTTCTTCAAAGGCTCATTTCAGCACCTGTGCTTTCTCTAGAAAGGTAGCAAAAACATGAAATTGTGCACTTGACCAACCATGCTACAGTTAAAAACCCCTGTTGTAAAATATTACCAGACTAAAAAAATCTATTATATATGGTAATATGACTATCCATTCTACCATAGTTCAACATTAAAGTGAATTTGCCATATTCTAAAACTAGTTGCTTTGCTGTTTTGTCAATGAGCAGGCACCACAAGGTAAAATACTATTACACCAGCTGTCCAGAAAAGCATCCTTGATCTGAGATCGCTTTCAGTTTGCTTGTGAAATATTTACTTCTCTGGTCTCAAGCTCCACCCACCAATCAATCTACTGATCGATGGGAGTGCTTTGTTGTCCAGTCTGAGTGCTCTCACTAGACAGTGGGCCAGGGACAGAGTGCAGTACAAAGGGTTAGAACTAATGCTGGCCATAGACGGGTCTTTTTCAAGGTAAAAAAATGTGCATTTAGTATTTTTTTTAACTTGGAGCCTAGAAAGGACTCCTGCAGACTTGTCAGTGTATCTGTGTGCTTGTACCTTGTACACGGGCAGGCAGATACACAATGACAGAAAGGGACAATGAACTGTCAAAGTGCTCAACAGCACCATGGTAGTTCATTGTAAACTACAAGCCAATGGACACGAAGGTTGTTGATATTTGTAGTTTGCCATTCACAGAATTCTGTGAATGAATGACGCAGTCAGGCAGGCAGAGCCCCGCATGGCCATGTTTTTGAAAAAATAGTGCCAGCTAGTGGGGGGGGGGGAGATCACCTGCTAGCGATCACCAGATGTAGTGGAGCGGCAGCGGCTGTGTATTACATGTTCCACCGAAAAGTGAACTGATCCTTTAAGGGATACTGTACAGTTACAATACAATTCAATACAGGAGGATTAGGAAGGCCCTGTTCGTGGGAGCTTGCAGTCTAAAGAGAGGGAGTTCTTTTCCCTGAGTATTATGTATGATGAATAACTACTCCAGAACCAGAATGATACATGCCCAGACATAAAGAAGTGAGGATTTTCAATGTAGCCATGCAACAAATGCAGATAAATATATATGTATAAATGTATGGTTATCATACAATGCATTCAACTGAAATAGGTCTCAACATTTACATCTGGACCTGCATGCCTGAATTGTAAAAGTAGTTCACAATTAAATGAGCACAAGCAATAATATGATAATATATGGTACCTCCTGAAATCCTATCCTGGTATATTGCAGAATCTTGAGATCATAGTTTGACCTTTGGCCTTTGCTATTGAATTCCACATGTCCGGTAAGACCTTCCAACTCTACCTGTGCAAGAGAAAGCCAATCACAGAAAGCCACAGGCAACTCTAATTCTTCTGTTTACAAATATGGGCTACAATAACATGTATTAAAAATTCAGTACAATACGGTCTATGTAAAAAATAGGATACAGTATATTGAATAATTGTTACTTTTATAACTTTGTCCTATGCATTGTAATATTGACTACTAGCACCCAATTTAGAATCCCCATAATCACAGGAAGAGTGTTTCTCCACAGACTGGACGAGTCTGCAGGTATACAGTTAGGTGAATACAATGTGATAATTCACCTTAGGTGCCAGTTGATTTGCACTATGACTCTTTGGCCTCTTTATTGGGCAGTAAGCCCACCTGCAACATTGAAAGGTATGTATATCCTAACAATAACCTTCTCTAATTTTCTCTTTTTTCTTTTGGTCTTAAACATACCATTAAAATTGTTCTTTTATAGCCACTCAATAAGTACAAAAAACTTTTGTTAAACCTGCCAGAATTCCAGTGAGCTTGTAGGTTCTGCAGTGTTGTCTCAAGCAGTGTAGTCAGCCCTTCCCAACATTTTCTGTGGACTACAAAACACCCCCACAGTATGGTGATTAGGAGAAGGGAAGGACTGCTGTAGTCCTAATGCTCCTCCTTTCCTAGGGTGATAACATATTTCCTTCATAGGTACAGCACCCAAAAGTGCATTACTGGCAGGATAACCAGGTGAAAATAAAATAAAAAATCTGAAGAAAAGAAAATCAATGCAGCTACCACATCTGGACTAGCAAGCTGATATATATTTTATTTTTGTTGTTGTTCACTCCATTCACACTGGCTTAAAAAAACTCTGCTCCTAGAGGCGTTTAGCGTGTTTTTTTAATGCCTCTAGAAGCAGCTAATGTTATCTTATGTGTCCACGTACATTAGGTAGTCTAGAGGCGGTTTTTAAACTCAGCGTTTAGAGGCATAAAAAAAAACGTTTGGTGAGCATTTTTCTGGCAGAAAAAAAACAGCTAAATGTTCCTAAACACTTCTAAATGTTGATGCCTGAGGCCGGCACAAAAAACACTAAATATGAGCGTTTTTTTTTATACAGTAATTTCTGACAACTCTTGTTTTTGTTTTTTTTAAGTACAGTGTGCATGTACCTTAAAACACAACAGGCAGTTTCAGGAGGCAAGAGAGGTGTGCTCAGCTAACACATAGACAACACTGTCTCAGTGACTCAGTCAAGTGTCCTTTACATGAATTATTAAACTGGCAAAAAATGTTAGCATGCTGGTGGGTATCTTTGACCCATTCTACATATTTTAACACTCAGAAAATGAGTGTTATATACTTATAGTGTTTATACTTCCTATAAAGATTTTCATAAGTGAAACAATTGACAATTTTAGCCTCAAATATTTTGCATAACAGATTGTATACCTGTACAAAAGACACTTTTTATATATGAAAATGCTGAGCCTTGTCAAATAGCTACTCTGTCTTTTTCCCAAATAATGCTCCTTTCTTTAAACTTATAGAATATAATTGAGAAATGAAAATCTCTCTTCCTTACTCACCATTCTCAGGTAGTTCATAAGGCTAGTGCCATGTTGCCATATTTGTGCGGACCCACATGACAGAGGTTTAACGCCAATTTCCTGACTTCGGTTTAGCTCCTGCACGGCATCCACTATACCATAAACAGCATCAAAGAGCAAAGCAGAAGAAAGCTGAAAAAAATGTGATTATTCGTTTATGTTAACAATGTGAATGAAAGCTAGAAAACCCTTTTAAAGGGCACCTGTCATATCAGAAATTTGGGAGTAGCTACTGTTAACTTTTTTTTCAAGCTATAAGCTCCTAAGTTTTCTTCCAATTTTACTTCAAAAGTCCAGGAAAAATATAGAGGCAGAAAAGTCATTGCTCTGGTCACTGCAATTGTTTCAGTACAGTGACTTACTAAGTTAAGAGGCAAGGAAGAGGATAAAATGTACCATTAAAATGAAGTTGGGAATGGCAGCTCTAATGTATGCATCCTGAGAGTTTCCATTAGAGCTTTGGCCTTTGGAAATGTGATAAGAACCTAAAGAATAAGTCCACTTTTAGTAAAAACTCTCTTACATACGCTCCATCCTCACTATCTCCCCAAAATAAACTAACCTAGGAACACCTATCAAACTGTTTACATACCACAACATGTCAGCCACTGTCTCCTCCATGGTTTACAACCTCCAAGTCAAAACCTTCATCAGCACTGGTCACAGTGCACAGTTAGTCCTCATAAGCTTGAATGTGGCCAAACTTTGAGTGCCTCCTGTCATGGTGAATGGTCTATGCGGCCTCCATTGTCATCTATTTTTATCACCAAACCGCACTGAAGATTACCTTGATGGGTGATGTCATTCTGGAGGAGTAGGTATTCTAGGCAGGCTATATTTGCCTGCAAGTTGCCCTAGGTATATGAACCTCCTGGAGCAGTGTGGGAGTTTTTTTTAGAGGTTAGGGGAAGGGTAGGGATTTACCAAACCACTGTCGCCTTGCCCTGAATGAGAAAGCTGTTGGTTTATTAAAACTGGAGAGTGCAAAATCTGGTGCAGCTGTGCATGGTAGCCAATCAGCTTCTAATTTCAGCTTTTTCAGTTAGGTTTAGACAAAACAAACTGGAAGCTCATTAGTTTCTATGCAGAGTTGGAACAGATTTAGCACTCTCCAGTTTTAATAAATCAACCCCACAGTGAATCTGGGATACAATATGGTTTTTAATGAGTATAGATATACATGTGATCATATGTATGTATCAATGTATGTTATTTAAAACAAATTTGTTTGTATGTATAGATGGTCAAAGGTCAAATGATGATTGGTAGCCAGAGACAGGCCCAGACTGGCCATAGGGTACACGGGCGTTTGCCTGGTGGGCTGGGTTTGCATGTCCTAACAAGACCACAGCACAATTCCCACTGACATTCCCCAGTTCCCGGACAGTGTTCACAGCTTGCCGCAGATTACAGTAGTTGCACTGAGCTATAGCAGATGATCCGCACTCAGCAGTCTCCATTATAACGTGTTCCCTATTCAATCATGTGAAGTGTAAATTTTGTTATCCAAACAGCAAGCTGACTATGGGGTTGATTTACTGAAACTGGAGAGTGCAAAATATGGTGAAGCTGTGCATGGTAGCTAACCAACTTGTAACTTCAGTTTAGCCAATTAAACTTTGCCAGAAAAAACTGGAAGCTGATTGGTTTCTATCCAGAGCTGCACCATATTCAGCATTTTCTAGTTTAAATAAATCAACCCCAGTGAATTGCTTATGCTATCCACCAAAAAAGCAGTTGTGCCAAAGTCAGAAAGATCACTTAATTAAATTCAATCTGTGTTCTGTGTAATCAGACATTTCTGAAGCCTGTGCTGTAAAACATCCATTCCAAAGCAAGTTTGAATCAGATCAATGACTGAATTTTTTAGCGCTAACATTTTTTCACATTAGGTTTTCCGTATTGAGAGACAAGAAGCCTACAATGTATGTGTGTTGGGAAATTCCTCCTATGCAGAATCATTTTTGGATCAGCAGATGACAGACAAAAGACACTGGTGGGGGCTGGCACACTGCTGCTCTCCCTCTATGCATCTCAAGGTTTACTGTTCAATATTGCTAGACTGTGCTGTTAAGTTAGATAAAAAAATGTGCTTATATTGACATATAAACAAAAACATAAAGAAGGCTGGGGCTTTATTTGCCTTCATTTTACATGTCATGTAGGCAAGATAAGCAATGTTTTCGTATCTGCAAAATGTTATTAATATAGCAGCCCAGGCAACAAGTAAATCCGTTCAGTGAATTTTATAAATCCACAATTTCCCACTCCCTCCTACTGAGCAATGCTAATAACGCCAATAAATTCAGTGAAATGGGAATCTGTTTAAATAATACCCTCCCTGTAGTCCTAAATCTCAATATATTTGTAACAAAGCTTGAATCATACACCCTTTTTCTTGTTATATTATTTAACTAATAATAAACCTCATAAATACAATGTATGTCTAGCTGTTGTGTTTTATCATGCAGTAAATGAATAGGAGTGTGTACTTTAAAAGGGTTCAGATTTACTGAAATTTGAGGATATTCACACAATAAATTGTGTGAATATTCACTTGAATTATCCAGTCATGTGAAAAGAAAATTCCTGGTTACCTATTTAACCTGCACATGACTCCTTTAGTAAATCATTCTTAAACTGTATCAATGCTAAAGTAGAAAAATCACTCAGTTTAATACAGTTTGACTAATATAATTTTTCTATTGTTAGATCGAGCAGAGATCTCTGAAGGCAAAAGAGGGAAAAACAATGGAACTAATTTGTTCTTTTTTTGTTAGAAATGTATGCAAATGCTCTGCATGGATGCAGAACTCTAAATACATATATGTAAAGCTATGATGTAAAGGCCACAGTAAAAATGGACTGGATATCATTCTGATACCCCTATAGATTTTAAATGTATTTAAGTTAAAAATATCAAACTATGATGTAATACAATCTCAGTGTATAGAAATGCACAAGGTAGGTAGAAACACTACCCCATCACTCATGTTATTATTTCACAATACATAAGTGTTTAAGTTTACCGATTTTCTTTTCTGTATTTTTTTGTGTGAAACAATAAACAGCTTTTTGATTTTACTTTAAGCAAGGAGTGAAGAACATAGTGCCCTTGTGTTTAAAGCTCTGAAATATTCCTATATGTTTTCAGAAGTACCAAACTTTTCAACAACTGCCGTGGGGGTAAAATATGAATAATTTACTTCTCAATGATCACTCCTGATAATTACACTGCATCAGACATATGCATAATTTAACTGCACAGAGAACTTTAAAGAGCAAAACTGAGAATTTTCATCTTGCAGAATCACGGGCTCAAAGATGGGTGTTCCCAGAAAAACAAATAACTATCATACAGGTGATCCAGGATGAAAAACAAAACTAATAGGTAGATACGTTTTATCCTGTTATTTATCTCCATGATAAATGCTCACATTCAGCTAATGTGTATTGTCTGACAATGGGAATTAGTGTGAAGGATAGGCTTATATTGATTAATGTTTTGCAGGGATTTTCAAATCTAGGAAACTAAACATTGCAAGACAGGTACCACATTGCTTTTGAAATTTACTTCACCAAAAAAAACATGAATTTTAGTGGTTAAAGTATCACAAACCAAACACTTATATTAAACCTTTCCTTTCAAAAATCAGTGCAAAGTGGCACTGTGAATCAACAGATATGCTCAGGGGTAGTAAGTATCTTCAACATCTTTTCCTAAGCTCCAAAAGCTGGTGTGCTCTAAAATGCAAATATGAACTTAAAGTACAACTAAACTGTATCTGCATAATAAAAATAAATTAAATAATGTTTTTGGTTTGCAATGCTCAAAGTATACTCACCCCTCTATTTATGTCTCCTTACTTTTTTTTTTGAGAAATCACTTCGATAAACACCCCCTAGCAGTTCTAACCATGACTTGATTTAGGCAGGCATCTTGATTTAGGTAGATGATTCATGTAGCATTAATGTAGCAATAATCTATGCATCTATCTATCTACATATATATATATCTATATCCACTACTTAAAGCGGAGCTCCACCCAAAAGGAGAAGTTCTGCTTTAAGGACTGCTCCCCTGCTCCCCATTAAGGATTGGCACCTTTGGGGGGCGGGGGGGAGCGGATACCCGAATTTGACAGGTACCCGCTGTCCTCCCACCCTGTAGTCTTTTGGGACATGTGACAGGTCCCAGAAGACTACAGGACCATTCATGAAGTGCAGTGCTACTCGCGCATGTGCAGTGGGTACCTGGCTGTGAAGCAGCAAGCTGTCACAGCCGGGTGCCCACACTGAAGATGCCGGCCTCCTGGAATACAGGACGGCCGGTGAAATGGGCTGTGGGGGACACACCACGGGACCAAGGGACAGGTAAGTGGCTGTTTTTAAAAAATCAGCAGCTGCAGTTTTTGTAGCTGCTGACTTTTATTTTTTTGGCAGGATGACTGGAATTCCGCTTTAATAGCCCTGTAATCTATTTTTCATTAAATTGTTTTTTTACTGTGTTTTTCTGTGTCATTGCAATGTCCTCAATGAGTTCTCGAAACCTCTTCTTTTCCCCATCACTCCAGTTTTTTGGAAAGAGCACTGCAATTTAGTTGCAGTCAAGTGCACTGCTTTATGCACACTACAAATTGTATAATCCATAGTACCTAGTCCATCTACTAGATAGCGAGCAAGAGAGAGTGGCTACATTCGTACACACAGTGGGACTGTGGAGAAGTGCAGGCACCCTCTAACAGTAAGTCAGATCAAAGCAATAAACAGGATGTGAAGTTAAGAATACATACCATTTTTTTTTTACTTTTTTAAAAAAAAGTTTAGTGTTAATTAAAGGAAGGAAGACTGAGGGATGTGCCACTCCTTCCACACCTTCCTCTTCTAGGTAGGGATGAGGTCCAAATTTGCTTCGAACACAGGGTCTGACCAAATTTTGCTTGTGGGAGCATTCATGAAAATGCCAAACATTTTGCCCATTAGGCGTAAACCAAATGTCATATACAGTAGTGGCTTTACTACCATACAGTATATATATACTGTATATATATATATATATATATATATCAGCTTCCACTATAAATGGTTGTTAAGGAAGCAGCAGTGTCAGCATCTATCATGTCCTTAGCAACCAGTGATGTCACCCAGCCCCATTCATTTGTTGGTCAAGAATCCCTGGCCATGTGAACAAAGGGACTAATTGCTGGCATCATTGCCCAAATATGACCACACAGTCATACTTGGGCAATAGCATTAAGCAAATATAGCCATGGCCATATTTTTGTCAATGAAAACTCTGGATATTCCTTGCCCCTTTGTTTATATTCCAGATGACAGCTCAGGAAGCTGTCATTCGCAGTGAGTGAGCGACAGTATTGGACACATTGGCTAGTCAGTGAGTCTTTTCTTTTGGCGAGTCATTGATCATGACTGATGATGATCTGCTTTGCCAAATGACTTGACTGATGGTGGAACTTATTATTTAAAAAAGAACTTGTCTAAAATTGAGGTGTTTTTGTTTACTTTTTAAATTTATATTTGTGAATGCATAACAGTTACTCATCCATGTGGGGGGGAGGGGGGGGGGGCAGTAACTGGGGGCCACCCTTTCAGACTATAATAAACCCCCACCTGCAAAACCCTATAACAGTAGGGGAAGAGTTGTGAGGAAGAGGCCCATGTCCTCATCAACCTGGGACCCCTTGCACTGAACTCTGGCACATTCATCCCATCACTATCCGGGAATATATATTTACATGTTGTGAGGATACTTGAGCTGATGGACCCTCAAGCACCTGACAAACACCTACTCCCTCAAAGTACATACCACCACCAATAGCATACATTTGAATATACTGGGCAACTTTAATGACCAATAGTGAGGATGGAGTAGGAGGTGAAAAGGGATGACTAGAGTAACCTGAGTTTTAGACTGCTTGGGATTTTGGAAATTAATTTGAAGATACAGTATATGCAGATACATAAGGAAGCTTGCTTTTCATTTATATGGTGCCATTTATGTTGTTTTTTGAAAGAAATTATTTACTTTAAACAGTAAGAAGATGATGATGTGGTTTGTTCAAACAGGATGATAATCATAATAACAAGCAAAAATACTAAACACTTACAAAAACACAAATTCCTTTTAATAATACTTACAGTCAGGTCCATAAATATTGGGACATCGACACAATTCTAACATTTTTGGCTCTATACACCACCACAATGGATTTGAAATAAAACGAACAAGATGTGCTTTAACTGCAGACTGTCAGCTTTAATTTGAGGGTATTTACATCCAAATCAGGTGAACGGTGTAGGAATTACAACAGTTTGCATATGTGCCTCCCACTTATTAAGGGACCAAAAGTAATGGGACAGAATAATAATCATAAATCAAACTTTCACTTTTTAATACTTGGTTGCAAATCCTTTGCAGTCAATGACAGCCTGAAGTCTGGAATGCATAGACATCCCCAGACGCTGGGTTTCATCCCTGGTGATGCTCTGCCAGTCCTCTACTGCAACTGTCTTCAGTTCCTGCTTGTTCTTGGGGCATTTTCCCTTCAGTTTTGTCTTCAGCAAGTGAAATTCATGCTCAATCGGATTCAGGTCAGGTGATTGGCTTGGCCATTGCAGAACATTCCACTTCTTTCCCTTAAAGAACTCTTTGGTTGCTTTTGCAGTCTGCTTTGGGTCATTGTCCATCTGCACTGTGAAGCGGCGTCCAATGATTTGTGAAGCATTTGGCTGAATATGAGCAGATAATATTCCCGAAACACTTCAGAATTCATCCTGCTGCTTCTGTCAGCAGTCACATCATCAATAAATACAAGAGAAGCAGTTCCATTGGCAGCCATACATGCCCACGCCATGACACTACCACCACCATGCTTCACTGATGAGGTGGTATGCTTAGGATCATGAGCAGTTACTTTCCTTCTCCATACTCTTCTCTTCCCATCACTCTGGTACAAGTTGATGTTGGTCTCATCTGTCCATAGGATGTTGTTCCAGAACTGTGAAGGCTTTTTTAGATGTCGTTTGGCAAACTCTAATCTGGCCTTCCTGTTTTTGAGGCTCACCAATGGTTTCCATCTTGTGGTGAACCCTCTGTATTCACTCTGGTGAAGTCTTCTCTTGATTGGTGACTTTGACACACATACACCTACCTCCTGGAGGGTGTTCTTGATCTGGCCAACTGTTGTGAAGGGTGTTTTCTTCACCAGGGAAAGAATTCTTCAGTCATCCACCACAGTTGTTTTCCGTGGTCTTCCGGGTCTTTTGGTGTTGCTGAGCTCACCGGTGCGTTCCTTCTTTTTAAGAATGTTCCAAACAGTTGTTTTGGCCACACCTAATGTTTTTGCTATCTCTCTGATGGGTTTGTTTTGTTTTTTCAGCCTAATGATCGATTGCTTCACTGATGGTGACAGCTCTTTGGATCTTATCTCGAGAGTTAACAGCAACAGATTCCAAATGCAAATAGCACACTTGAAATGAACTCTGGACCTTTTATCTGCTCGTTGTAATTGGGATAATGAAGGAATAACACACACCTGGCAATGGGACAGCTGAAAAGCCAATTGTCCCATTACTTTTGGTCCCTTAAAAAGTGGGAGGCACATATGCAAACTGTTGTAATTCCTACATCGTTCACCTGATTTGGATGTAAATACTCTCAAATTAAAGCTGACAGTCTGCGGTTAAAGCACATCTTGTTTGTTTCATTTCAAATCCATTGTGGTGGTGTATAGAGCCAAAAATGTTAGAATTGTGTCGATGTCCCAATATTTATGGACCTGACTGTATATACTATATTTGCAAACTAAAACTAGAAAATTAATGTATCCTTCAGTAGCACTTAGAGATGGGTCAGAATGGGGTAAAAGGTGCTGACTTGTAAACCTCATGATCTACTATGTCCGAAGTCAGAAGCAGCAGGGGAGATTTACAAAAACTAGAGTGAAAAATCTGGTGTAGCTCTGCACAGAAACCAATCAATTTACTGGTTTATTGTCAAAGATTAATAGAACAAGCTGAAGTTAAAAGCGGATTAGTTATTATGCACAGCTGCACCAGGTTTGGTGTGCTCCAGTTTTAGCAAATCTCCACCAGTGTCTTGAACTATGGTGTCCTTTTATGACACAGAGAATAGCTGCGATTCAACGGATCTCAGCTATTCTCTGGTCATTCACAGTTTATGACACTCAGGAGATCATGTCAGCCCTTCTCTGGAGATCTGTGTTCTCCCTCCAGATTCTCCAGCCCAAAGCTGGAGAATCAGAGGGACCGAAAACTAAGCAGAGATAATTTACCTCTGCTTAGTAAACTGATCTTTTACTGTAATCTGGCGAGATTATAGTAAAATGAGCCGTTTTTCACAGTTTGTAGACCGTTCTCCAGCGTTTGGAGACCGTTCTCCCTTCGTTCGGAGAACTGCTTCATAAACTGCATTCACAGGAGAACTGTGTTCTCCGAGAATGCCGGAGAACTGAGCAGCGATCTATTACCGCTGGTCCATAAACGGACACCTAAACTGGATGCCACTTACTGCAGGGCCCGTGAAAGGAGTATGATCACAGTTCTCTTCCCAAGATTGCTGGAGTATCTGTGTGAATTCCTGGAAGTAGCTGTGCGATTGATTAAACATAGAAAAACTCAGGATGTTCACCCGTTCATCCAATGGGCTGTCAAAGCGCTGCAGAGAAAATTCCTGATTGAAGAACATTTCAGGGTTAATTACCAATTCAGCAACATAAAACCATCAAGAATGACCATTTTTACAGCTATCCCTGGTTCACACCACTGCGACTTCAGGTGTGACATTCGATTTACAAATCGCACCTGAAGTTGCACCCAATGTATGTCTATGACACTTATATTCAAATACACAGCACAAAATTCCCATATAATATCCCAGAAAAGTCATCCACCTCCACCCTTGAAGGCTAATCAAAAAAATATATATAAAGCTTTTCTCTTTTAAAAAACCACAAAAGTGTCCAAAATATCCAAACAATCCCCACTAGTGTAAACAATTGTTTAGCAAAGTCTCTTTTTTTCTTCTTTCAACAACAAGTCTCTTTCTCAACATCCGCAATTTCTGATGACAATATACCTCAAAAGGAAAAAAAAACTCAACATAGTGTCATACCTTTTAAATAATAAATACACACGTGCCACTTACTGTGCAACATGTAATACTGTGAGAAAAAAAAAAAAAAATATATATATATATAGATGTGTTAACCTCCCTGACGGTATTCCCGAGTGTAGCTCGGGGTAACATTTCAGTACCAAAAGCGGTAACCCCGAGCTACACTCGGGCTTACCATGCGGCGCTGCTCCGGCAAGTGTTCTTCACTTACCTTACCCTGCGCTCCCGCGATGTGTCCCCTGCAGCGTCCCCGGCCATCTCCTCCGGCCGATGCCGGCATCCGGCTTCTGTGTCCTGTCCCTGTGACGTCGGGACGTACGGGCGCCACCGCCGCCGCCGGCGGGAAATTTAAAAATTTTAAAAAATGTCATTTTTTTTTTTTTTACATTTTACACAGTAAAACATTGCTGTTTCAACCTATTTCACATACATATTGTCCCTAGTGCTTTGTCCTGCGCCCTGCCTGCATTTTGTCTGTTCTTTCTGCCTGGAAACTGAGAAATGTCCATGGCGTCCAAAAAGTGTCCCTTTAGGTCAAAAGCGGTTTAGATCAGCTAGAGAACAGCGATAGTAAATCAGAACCACTTACAGAATTGAGTGATAATGATTCGTGGGGGAAATTCGTCATCAGAAACTGAAAACGATTTTGCGACTGAGCTCAGCGATGTGCGAACTTGGCGCTCTATTTCACATTTCAGTGTTTTTGGTTTGATTATATTATTGAATTACATTTTTTATTATTTTTATATTATTTTTATGATTATTTATTAAATTATAATTTATGATTTTGTGTTTCAAATTTTATCATACCCGGGATGTTTACTAGACTCTTGTTCGGACAGATTTCAGTGAGTTTTTCCGAAAAAATTACAGCCTACAATAAAAAAAAAAAAAAATGCATATTTCCATGCAAAAAAATGGTACCGCTTTCAGCACCAAAAATCTGAAATAATCATACCGCCAGGGAGGTTAATCTATATGCGAATATCTACATACACGCATATATTTTTTAAAATTTCTCTGTGTAACCAAATTATTTATAAGTGAAACACTCACACATCGTGTCCACTACAAAATCTGTGAAAGCAACTCAAGTATATCACTGCAAATGTGTATCACCACACTCTGTATTCATCAGTGATCACCTTAAACCCTACACACACCCAAAACCAACACTCTCCAACTCGTGTGCTGATGGATAATTACCCTATATATAAAATGACAGGGCATAACACAAATCTGGGTTAACTTCTTATCAGTAGGGTTCCATCCAGTGTTAGAGTTTTTCTTCCATTATCCTCAAAAGAAAATCTGCAATTACATATGGTAGATTCAATAAAATATCATCCTTTATTTGATAACTCACATTAAAGTTTGGATAAAGCAGCTCCTCCTCATAGAGATACAAATGCAGACAGACTAGGGAACACTGGCCACATGTTCCCACTTCCAAGATGGCCGCGATCGCACTTCCGGTCAATGTCGATGCGTCTGACGACCCTTCTGAAAAAGTCATAGGAAGTGACGAAACGTGTCAGGGACACGTGACGTCAGACGCATCGACGTTGACCGGAAGTGCAATCGTGGCCATCTTGGAAGTGGGAACATGTGGCCAGTGTTCCCTAGTCTGTCTGCATTTGTATCTCTATGAGGAGGAGCTGCTTTATCCAAACTTTAATGTGAGTTATCAAATAAAGGATGATATTTTATTGAATCTACCATATGTAATTGCGGATTTTCTTATGAGGATAATGGAAGAAAAACTCTAACACTGGATGGAACCCTACTGATAAGAAGTTAACCCAGATTTGTGTTATGCCCTGTCATTTTATATATAGGGTAATTATCCATCAGCACACGAGTTAAAGAGTGTTGGTTTTGGGTGTGTGTAGGGTTTAAGGTGATCACTGATGAATACAGAGTGTGGTGATACACATTTGCAGTGATATACTTGAGTTGCTTTTACAGATTTTGTAGTGTGGACACGATGTGTGAGTGTTTCACTTATAAATAATTTGGTTACACAGAGAAATATTTAAAAATATATGCGTGTATGTAGATATTCGTATATAGATTAACACATCTCTATATATATATATATATATATATATATATATATATATATATATATATATACAGTTGCAAGAAAAAGTATGTGAACCCCTTGGGATTACGTGGAGTTTTGCATGAATTGGGCATAAAATGTGCTCTGAACATCATCTAAGTCACAACAATAGAAGAACACAGTCTGCTGAACATAATACTACACAAACATTAGATGTTGCCATGGTTTAATTGCACATAACATGTAAACATTCACAGTGCAGGGAGGAAAAAGTATGTGAACCTTTGGACTTAATAACTGGTTGACCCTCCTTTGCAGCAATAACCTCAACCAAACGTTTCCTGTAGTTGCAGATCAGACCTGCACAACGATCTGGAGTAATTTTGGACCACTCCTCTTCACAAAACTGTTTCAGTGTAGCAATATTCTTGGGATGTCTGGTGTGAATCGCTCTCTTAAGGTCATGCCACAGCATTTCAATCGGGTGGAGGTCAGGACTCTGACTGGGCCACTCCAGAAGGCATATTCTGTGCTGTTGCAGCCATTGTTTTGTTGAATTACTTGTATGCTTTGGGTCATTGTCCTGTTGCATCACCCATACTCTGCGGAGCTTCAGTTGGCGGACAGATGGTCGTACGTTTTCCTGCAAAATGTCTTGATAAACTCTGGAATTCATTTTCCCATCAATGACAACAATCCGTCCAGGCCCTGAGGCAGCAAAGCAGCCCCAAACAATGATGCTCCCTCCGCCATGTTTTACAGTGGGGATGAGGTTTTGATGTTGGTGTGCTGTGCCTTTTTTTCTCCACACATAGTGTTGTGTGTTCTTCCCAAACAACTCAATCTTGGTTTCATCTGTCCACAGTATATTTTGCCAGTAGTGCTGTGGAACATCCAGGTGCTCTTTCGCAAACTTCAAACGTGCTGCAATATTCTTTTTGGGCAGCAATGGCTTCCTCCGTGGTGTCCTCCCATGTACTCCATTCTTGTTTAATGTTTTCCTTATTGTAGATGTGTCAACAAAAATGTTAGCATGTGCCAGAGATTTCTGTAGGTCTTTAGCTGACACTCTGGGATTCTTCTTTACCTCATGCAGCATTCTGCGTTGTGCTCTTGCAGTCATTTTTACAGGACGACCCCGCCTAGGGAGAGTAGCAACAGTGCTAAACTTTCTCCATTTGTAGACAGTCTGTCTTACCGTGGACTCATGAACATCAAGGCTTTTGGAGATACTTTTGTAACTCTTTCCAGCTTCATGCAAGTCAACAATTCTTGATTGTAGGTCTTCTGAGAGCTCTTTTCTGCGAGGCATGGTTCACATCAGACAGTGCTTCTTGAAACCAGTAAACCCAAAACAGGTTTGTGTTTTTTAAGGGCAGGACAGCTGTCAGCAACACATCCAATATCATCACACTGATTGGAGTCAAGGTTGGCTCACTCCTGGCTCCAATTAGCTCTGGGAGAAGTCATTAAGCTAGGGCCTCACATACTTTTTCCTCCCTGCACTGTGAATGTTTACATGTTATGTGCAATTAAACCATGGCAACATCTAATGTTTGTGTAGTATTATGTTCAGCAGACTGTGTTCTTCTATTGTTGTGACTTAGATGACGTTCAAAGCACATTTTATGCCCAATTCATGCAAAACTCCACGTAATCCCAAGGGGTTCACATACTTTTTCTTGCAACTGTATATATAATTTTTTTTTTTTCTCACAGTATTGCATGTTGCACAGTAAGTGGCACGTGTGTATTTATTATTTAAAAGGTATGACACTATGTTGAGTTTTTTTTCCTTTTGAGGTATATTGTCATCAGAATTTGCAGGTGTTGAGAAAGAGTTGTTGAAAGAAGAAAAAAAGAGACTTTGCTGAACAATTGTTTACACTAGTGGGGGGATTGTTTGGATATTTTGGACACTTTTGTGGTTTTTTAAAAGAGAAATGTCTATGACATTGTCTTAGTAGGTGCAATTTCAAGTAGCACGATTTGAAAAATAGTTCCTGCATTACTTTTTCTCCACTTCAATGCGATATAACTCTCATAGACTATTAGGTAAATGGCACTGAAATTGCACCTGTGTCTATATGAGCGCTACTTTGAAGTCATGCTTTAAATGGGACCAAATCAAATTGCGTTCAGAGTGTACCAGGGATTAAGGAGAGGTTAGTAGTGGAGAAGTATTTGCATAAGCTTTTTCCATAAATGCCGTGGTAGTTCATTGAAGCTTCCTGTCAGAATATCTGCTTGCTCGTACATCCCGTACGGCAAGCAGATATTCTGACAGGTCTGCAGGAGACCTGCATGGCATCAGCGATCTACTGATCGCTGGTGCAATGCTTTCCAGGCTCCTTTTGGCAAAAATAATAAATGCACATTATTTTTGTCCAAAAGGTGAACTTATCCTTTAGGACAGATTAATGTTAGAGATACTGGTGTTTGAGTTATAAAGATGTTGTCACACAAAAACTTACAGAGGCCACAGGGCCTTGGAACAGAGCCTGAGCAGAACATTCCCCATAATTTCTACAGAGTTAACATGTCTTGTTTAGTCCTTAACCTGTTATTTTTTTCTCTACCATGAGAAAATTTTTCTTTTACACCTCTTGCACCTGGATCAGGTATTTTTGTAACTGATTTAGATGCAGCCCATTGTTTTTAATGCACCTGTACACACAGACACATAAATTTACATTGTATATAGATTAGTTAAAAGAAAAAAAAAACTGGCTTGACTGGACAGTATTTTACTCGATTACGGTATATGCACAAATATGTGCATATACGCACATACAAACATACAACAGAACCCAAGAAAAGCTGTCATTTTTATGCAAGTGTACACATATGTGGGAAAACACATGAATACATGCATTTACTAACAGCATATCCTCATGTTTTTATGCAGGGACTTTCTACCAGGAAACTGCATCAGTACTGTGTGCAATACCTTTATTAATTACAAAAAACCTTTCTATAAAATAACATACAGGTGAAACTCAAAAAATTAGAATATCGTGCAAAAGTTAATTTATTTCAGTAATGCAACTTAAAAGGTGAAACTAATATATGAGATAGACTCATTACATGCAAAGCAAGATAGTTCAAGCCGTGATTTGTCATAATTCTGATGATTATGGCTTACAGCTCATAAAAACCCCAAATCCACAATCTCAGAAAATTAGAATATTGTGAAAAGGTGCAATATTCTAGGCTCAAAGTGTCCCACTCTAATCAGCTAATTAAACCATAACACCTGCAAAGGGTTCCTGAGCCTTTAAATGGTCTCTCAGTCTGGTTCAGTAGGAATCACAATCATGGGAAAGACTGCTGACCTGACAGTTGTGCAGAACACCATCATTGACACCCTCCATAAGGAGGGAAAGCCTAAAAAGGTAATTGCAAAGGAAGTTGGATGTTCCCAAAGTGCTGTATCAAAGCACATTAATAGAAAATTATGTGGAAGGGAAAAGTGTGGAAGAAAAAGGTGCACAAGCAGCAGGGATAACCACAGCCTGGAGAGGATTGTCAGGAAAAGGCCATTCAAAAGTGTTGGGGATTTTCACAAGGAGTGGACTGAGGCTGGAGTCAGTGCATCAAGAGCCACCACACACAGATGGATCCTGGACATGGGCTTCAAATGTCATTTTCCTCTTGTCAAGCTATTGAAGCATCCTGGTCTTCCATAACACCTCAGCAGTGCCACAGGCTGATAGCTTCCATGCCACGCCGCATTGAGGCAGTAATTGCTGCAAGAGGGGCCCAAACCAAGTACTGAGTACATATGCATGCTTATACTTTTCAGAGGTCCGATATTGTTCTATGTACAATCCTTGTTTTATTGATTCCATGTCATATTCTCATTTTCTGAGATTGTGGATTTGGGGTTTTCATGAGCTGTAAGCCATAATCATCACAATTATGACAAATCATGGCTTGAACTATTTTGCTTTGCATGTAATGAGTCTATCTCATATATTAGTTTCACCTTTTAAGTTGCATTACTGAAATAAATGAACTTTTACACAATATTCTAATTTTTTGAGTTTAACCTGTATGTGCATTCCTATGAGAACAATAAAATCTGCTTAGCGAATTATCATATAAACATATTACATAAACATAAACACAATTGCTATAGAAAAAATGTAGGTATGTAAAAAGCCTAGTAAATGCTTAAACAGCAGATATGAAAAAAATAATCTATCTATCTATCTATCTATCTATCGTATCTATCGTATCTATCGTATCTATCTATCTATCTATCTATCTATCTATCTATCTATCTATCTATCTATCGTATTTATCTATCTATCTATCTATCGTATCTATCTATCTATCTATCTATCTATCTATCTGTCTATCTATCCATCCATTAATCTAACATCAATCACTGTATCACTTAACATATTTTGCCCACTTTACAGAAAACACGGCACTAGTCACATCAGCTACAGATAGAAAATTACACTTTGTATTAATTTTCAAAAGTGACATTCTATTCAACTGTTAAAGGTACTTAGCACCAGCAAGTGTGGAGTAGGGAGAGGTCAGAGCCACCCATATTGTTATGGCTCAAATTCAGATTACTCTTGAAACTTCCATCAGTATGTAAAACTGTGCAATAAGTGCTTTTTACAATTTGCAGTTCTAAAAGTGCTCTCACTTCCAATCAATATTTTTATTCCCGGTGTGAAAAAGACCATCTCTATAAATGCTTTACCTTTCAACAATCTGCAGTAATTACATTTTACAGTTGTTTCATACTTTAGTTACCAGTAATATCATTATAGGTTTAAGTGGTCTATAGAAATACACAGGATAAGAGAACAGAATTTACAGCACTGCTTGTGCTGTTAATAAAAAAATAATTTCTCACCAAATTTGTAAAGATATATGTGTAATAAGCGGAAACCATTCCCAGCTCTGCGGCCTGAAAATAAGGAAAGCAAAATATTAAAAAGAAAACCCCATAAAGGTTTTTTAATGAGCCTTAACTGTTAACCTGCAAGTTTCACATAATAATTTCTTTATAAAAAAAGCATTACACCAACAATAATGTGGCACAATTGTTTTTCCAGTGACACAGATAAGGTGAATCTCTAGTGATGTTATCAATCTGATTGGGCCATTTTGAAATGCAAATTTCGTACAAAAAGCATTTTTACATTGTGCTTTATTAAGTGTTCTTGCATGGCAAGACCACTTACTGTTATCTCACATATATATTCTTATTATTATAGCCAAATTTACCACCCTAACTCCTCCCACAGTTTTTACACTATATAGACAGTAACATACCGAAACGTGCGGATTGTTCCCGATTGGTGTGCTATTACTTTGTGGAACGTTTCGCCGAATGCTACACGAAATATTGGCGTTTTTGTGGTGAAATTGGTCCTATAGGAATGAATGGCGGAATGTTCAAAACTAGCGTGGAAGCTAACAAAAGCTAGAGTGTGAGATGAAAAATCAGGACATGATTTCTAAACTGCCATCACTCCCTCATTGTCAAGCCCAACTACACAAATCGTATATCAAAACGTTCAGCTATCCCCGCTGCCACTAAAAATGTCCACGGCTAAGCCATAGTCCTGATAGTTTTTACAATATGACCATTTGTTGGCAACTCACGCCGCTCATTGAGATTCATTGAAACTCCACTCTAGCCACCTCAAATTTAAAGGGCAATATCTAAACTGCGACTGTGCCTTCATTTTTAATATTTCAGAGACATACTATGCATCAAAATGTAGGTATGGGTCTTGTGATTCTCACAATATAAAGCTCTTCGCTGTAGGATTTAACATTTTTAAACTACAACTGTTTGAAGATGGCAACCGCCAGTGAAGTGAGCAAGTTGGAGCAGTTTGTTTTTAACCACTCTTCTCTGCCCTTGCTGTAGAGTGCGTTGCCATAGGAACCCAGGTGTGTGAGCAGGCAGCAGAGTGACAAAAGCTAGAGTGTGAGCTGTAAAATAAAAGTTGAAATGCATTTCTCACTCTATCAAGCTTGCCATGTGCACTTTTTAAATTTGATCAATCAATTAATTAGTGTAATGTTTACTATCTTTACTCACTCTAAACACTCCACACGGTTACTCTGCCCACTCCATAAAGTTACTCTGCCCAGTCCAACCTTTTCACAGTTATTCCAGCCACTCCAACCACAAAACAGTTACTCAAGCCACTCCAAACAGTTACTCCGCCCACTCCAGTTGTAGGCTACTGGTGGAGGCAAGAACACTTCACACAATTTCCCCAGAAATTGTAGCTTTTCTAGTTAATAAAAGAAAACCTACAGCCTAAACAACAAACATTTCCATAGTGTTCAATAGAAAAGCTATTTATAGATACCCACCTATAACCTATTACCAATTGTGTCTTATTGTCTGCAGCTGAGCATCCTGTTAATGTACAGTTTCATGTATCTTCCAAACCAGACACATATAAAATTTGCAGGTCACGCTTACTCTGATATCAAATTACTGGATGTCAGTGGGTAACATGTGATGTCTGTGCCTGCACCCAAAATTTCATTTCATAAATCAAACATGGAGCACAAACAAATGAAAGTAATCACTGCCAAAATCATTGGAGCTGAATTATTTCCTAAAGCAGACATTCTCAACCATACTATGGTATAGGCAGAACTCTGATTTATTTATTTATTTAATAAACTATATTGAAGAGAAATGCATTTTCCTCAATACTGCATGTGTTAATGTTACTATGGCAATGTATAGATGCATGGATGGAGAAAAAAAAAAACTAACATATATTATACAGCTCTGTGTGAAGTGGGGCATTTTGTGAGCTAAAACAGTTGTAAAATCATGTAACTTGCACACCTTAATTAATATTGTGTGGGACATTGATGCATTAGCATGAATAATGATCGTACTGGTCTTGTCATCACGGATTTCTTTTAAGAGTGGAGTTGGGTCCCAACTGTCATCAAGCATCCTGACTGAAAGACAGTCCTTGGAAATCAGAAACTGACGCAGGAGCTTCTCCAAGTTCAGAAGACCTTAAAAAAAAAAAAAAAATAGTCACTTTCAAAGTAAGAAAAAAAAAGTTAGTGGCCTACAAATCCTCCACTAAAACAATATCTACAGTAAGTATCAGGGTATGCAACCAGAAAAGAGAATACTCTTATTAGAGTACAATGGACAGCAGCCATGATCTTATGTATTTTACTCAAAGTAATGTAAAAACATTACATTACAAAAAGTATAAAATTACCAAAAAAATTAAGACGTTTCCAGTTTAACCACTTGCCCTCCAGAGGATTTACCCCCTTCGTGAGCAGGCCATTTTTTGCTGTTTGGCACTGCGCTATTTCAATTGGTATTTGCGCGGTTGTACAATGCTGTACCAAATGAAATTTATGTCCTTTTTTCACACAAATAATTTTTGCGCTATAAAGAAAAAAAAGACTGCAAATTTTGAAAAAAAATTATATTTTTCAATTTTGGTTATAAAAAATATCCAATAAACTCAAAGTTAGTCATAAATTAGTTTTTTTGGACCCAATTATAAATATATGATAATATTGTAAACACATATATATGCCACATTTCAAAATGTGCAATTTACCATATGCAGAGTGTATACATGGCCCAACCAAAAAATAGCTGAGACAGGTCACATCCCACATGGTCCAGCTGAAATTTAGGATAGACAAAGTCAAGTACATAGGGAACTGCAAACGTATATATTAATTTTAGTCATTAACAGGAGACCTGCAATCAAACCTTATCGTACAAAATGATGATGCTCTTTACTCTCATTGTGCCAGAAGTAGACAAATCTTTCTTTTACAAAGAGCTTTATTGAATAGGAAGCAAAAAATAAACAGACATTCGGAGCATAAATTCAAGGACCAACAATTAAGGATCATATTAAATGACGAGGAACTTATTCAAGGCATGCATCAATAAAGACATAAGCTGAAGAGTTAACATAGAAGCCTTGTAGGAATAGGTGAAGGAAGGGGTTATAAGGGAATGATTAACAAACCTTTGTGGGTCCATGATAATGTAAACTCCAGAGAGAGTTTTAGCTACATCAACATTATAGAAAACATGAGAGGCCCAAGAAGAGGCCTCTCCAAAAAATTATTCATGTTCATAACCTAGAGAAAGTATTGCGGATGTAGCGCAGAAAACAACAAGCACAATCTGTGAAATATATTTAAGGACAAATTGAACAGCAGGAAAGGAAAAGACATACAATAGAGAGACACGGACATCACAAACAACAACGACAACACAAAAAAAAAAAAAAAAAAAAAAAAAGGGAAAAGGGGGGGAAGTTGGGGCTCCAAGGGGATCACGGCAAAATCCAACCTCATATCGACAGGAGAGATTGGTCGAATCTCGAGGGTTGAGCTACATCCAACCAGGGGCGCCATATCTGCAAAAATTTTGTATGGGTATCTAACAATATGGCTGTCAATTTTTCATTAACCATGATGAAATTCATCCGGTTTTTGACAGCCTCAAAACTAAGGACAGGAGTCTTCCAAGCCCTTGCAATTGTCAATTTTTAGTTGCCATAAATAAGTGTGATGCCAGCTGCCGTTCAGAACGGAGAAGACCCTCCAATGGTTTAAATAAAAGTGCTTCATACGGATTACGCTTGATGTCTGTGTGAAGGATAGTGCGGAGAAGGGCGTACACCCTAATCCATAATCTACTTACTTTAGGGCAAGTCCACCATATGTGGGCCATGGTGCCCAATTGTTGGCAACCCCGAAAACAGACTGGGGAATATGTAGGGATAAAACTAGCTAGGCGAGCAGGCGTATAATACCATCGGTATAGAATTTTGTAGGCATTCTCAAGGATAATGACATTCCTAGAACATTTAGAGATTGCTTGGGTCATGTTCTGCCAGTCCTGTTGATCCAGGGTCCCCCCTAATTCAGACTGCCAACGCTGATGGTAAGAACGAACCGGAGGGGTTCTATAAGATATAATGGAAGAATAAATCAAAGAGATCAAACCCGGGGCATGAGGTCTATGTCTGCACTGGCTTTCAAAGGGGGACAGACGATAAGGTCCCGATTGTGTACGTATCAGTGTTTTTAGGAAATGATGAAGTTGAAGGTAACCAAAATGTTCTCGAAGGGGGATATTATAAGAAGAGCGCAGAACGTCAAAGGTAATTATTCTAGTGGGAGATAGAAGTGAGTGAACATCATAAAAACCATGCGCCTGCCACCATGCAAACTGTCTAGGATTGTCCCTACCCGGAGGGAATAATGGATTATGTAATAGACGTAACAGCGGCAGGTTTGGAGAGATAAGGCCAGCGGAGTATTTGATAGAATCCCAAAGACGTAGCGATAACGTCAGCGTTGGACTAAGGGTAGATGGACGTTGAGAAGGAGGAAGCCATGGCAAGGAGGAGAGCGGTATTGGATGAGAGTCCATCATATCTACAACAGCCCACAGAGGGAAGTGATGAGATGCATGAACATGAGCCAAGGGGGCAATATTAGCCGCCAAATAATAAGACTGGAGATTCGCAACCGATAACCCGCCCGCACTCCTTCGCGCGAATAAGATATGTTTGCTAATTCTGGGTCGAGAGGAGCTCCAGATAAAGGACAAAAGTTTTCGCTGATGGATACGCAATATATGCGAAGGTACTGGAACTGGCAAGACACGAAATAGGTAAAGTAGTTTTGGGAGATAGGTCATACGGATTGCATTAATTCTGCCGAACCATGAAAGCGGTAGACAAATCTTTCAAGCTCTTGGTACAAAAGTATAAATATAAGCTGAAAAATTATTGAGGTTATCAGGGTGAAACATGGTCACTGAAACGGGATGGCGAATCAGCAAATATTTATCCATAAATTGGGTATTTATCCAAAGAATCTGATCCATAGTGAGCATCAAGAGATCCTTGCTTTGCACACATGCCATTAGTGGTAAATCAGATCCCTACAGTCATCTACAGGTTGAAAGTTATATGCTAGATACTCTAGACCTCAATGGATGCCTGGGATAGAGATACTATTATGGTGGATCAAATGCAGTCTGTAGTCATATCTTCAGTGTAATATGTTATCTTTTCAGAGAATACACGAAGAGAAACAACAGTCCAGTGCATAAGATGAAAGCTCAGGTGAAGTCACTCCACGAAAAGTAGTAAAGACAAACTTAGCTTTTATAATAAAAGTGTCTACTGTAGTTCCACTGTGGCCTATGCCAACATACATCATCCACCGTAGTAATGTGGAAATCGAACACATAACGTTGTTCCGAGAGGGACATCCTCCACATGTGATGAACCTTTGCTCATGGTTCTATCATCTGATTATTTGGTGGTTAATGAATATGTCACTCTTCTCAGATAAAAAGAAAGGTTGCCATACTACATATGGCCACCATATTTTTCAGTGATTTTGTGACTCTGCTTCTGTTTATATGACTTTGTCTAAGCTTCATAGAATATACCTGTCAGTACCATCCACTTGCTGTAGATGTGGAGACCCAGCAACAGATTTCCTACATATTTGTTGGCATTGCCCACATATATGAACTTTCTGGGCAGAAGTTTTGGGTTTCATACGTACCTTATTCACCATTAATATCCCCCGTACAGTGGACCTATGTTTACTGGGACTTGTTAATGCCTTAGCTAATACTAGAGTGGTTGGGACTTGGTTTGTTACTTTTCTATGACAGGAAGACCATAGTCTTGAAATGGAAAGCTAAGCTGCCTCCCTCCCTAAATCACTGGAAAACGTTAGTCAATTCTGTTATACCTTTGTAGATGCTAACGTCATCTGTCTAGTGGCTGTCCACAAAAATTTCATAAAATTTGGTGTATATGGCTGGAGTCATCCTCTACAATAGCTGGAGATCCATACATATAGTATGGTAACTTAACTGGGGGGAGGTAAAGGGACTACATAAACCACTGCTTTGTCCATGTAGCTACACATATTTGTAATTGGTAATGTTTGTATTTGCTGGATGCCCCCCGGGACACTTCCCATTACTTCTGGGCTGTATTTGGTTTAAAAGAATTATTCTAATCCCCATGACCCCTCCCCAACGACTACACTTATTGTGCCATAAACAAGCTGACTAGGTTTTATAATCCCTTCTGACTACGTCTGCTATTAACGCACTGGTAAGAGATATTGAGAAACTGTTTCGTTAGCTAAGTTCTCTTTATTTTGTTTTCACTGTATTGACCTCAAGCCGGGAAATTCCCAGAGGCTGTTTTGTAACTCTTCTTTACAATATTAATAGAAGAGAAGTTAAAAAAAAAATATTTGAGTTTGGCAACTCATTCCTTACTATACTGAATGGTTTATATTGCTCTCCTTTAGCTCTGATTTCCTTAAAAGGATATAAATCTTCCCCCTTCTCTATTCAACATGGCACCCGACAAGGCTGCCCTCTCCTATACGTTTTGCACTGGCGATTGAACCTCTTGTTTTTGCCATATGCTCTCACTCAGATATGAGAGGGGTTCTCTTTGGTCAGCAGGAGCACAAATGTGCTTGTTTTGCTGATGATGTACTTCTATATGTCTCAGCCCCTCATATAACCTTACTGAATCTTTTTGCTTTATTACGTAAGTTTTCGTGCCTTTCGGGTCTCACCTTAAACTCTCATAAAACAACAACCTTTAATACTAACTTACCCAAATCCGAAGTGAGTACTATGTGTGCTAACATTGACTTCCAATGGGCCCAGGGATCTCTTCCTTATTTGGGAATCAACTTAGCATCCTCCATTGAGACTCTTTACCGTGCACATTTACCATGACTTTTCAAAAAAACTTAAAGAAGATCTTCATAATGGACCAATTATCCATTTTCTTGGTTTGGAAGAATCAACTCAATCAAAATTATTTTATTGCCCAGGTTACTTTATTATTTTAGGACTCTACCAGTGGTAGCTCCTAGAAGAGAAATACTTCACTTACAATATGA